GTCCATCCACCCACCTTCCTCGGGCCTCAGCTGGGGCTGGAACCTGACACATTCATCTGCACCTCTGGCTCTTTCCTCAATCTGGAATGTTCTTTTGACCTTTCTGCACCTGGCTACTCGCTTCGTTCTTTGAATCTTATCTCAGACACCTCCGGGAAGCCTTCTCTGATGCTTTCCTGGCTGGATGACAAGGGAGGAGCAAGCCAAGGAGGGCCTTGAGTGTTTGCACGGGGATGAAGTTCCTGCCCACAGGTCACAGGGGATGGCAAGACCAATAGTTCTGAGCGCCCCAAAGGTGCCAGGCATGGGCCTTGGGAGCTGGGCATATGGTGATTTAAAAAAAAAACCAGCCCAGATTGTCCCATCCTCTGGTCCAGCCTCATTATCTTATGACCAACAAGGAACAAAGAGAGAAGCTGGTGCTTTAATTTGCGACACGTGTTCCTTGTGTCCCTGTAGCAGGTGCTGCATGCCACCCAAGTCTCTCCTGCACATGGACAGCTTCCTATGCCCAGCACCTGTGCCTCTCTGTCTGCGGCTTTCCCTGGGCACAGGTGTGTGCTCAGCCCTCAGCAGTTAACACCCCCAGGAGCAGGCCTCACTTAATGACAAAGCTGATGTTAACAGAGGTATACCTAGCTTCCTCGCAGACAGCTGAGTGAGTTCTACGCTGTGCCCCAGAGGTGACTGGGGGGGTGGGGTCCCAGTTGCCCACAGCTGACACCTGCTCACTGATGAACCTCAATGCCTCCTCCGCTTCCCTGTCCCACTTCCCAGCTGGGGAAGTGACGCTTCCTCAATTGCACCCTCTGCTTTTCTGTCTCATTTCCCACCTGGGCAATGGTGCTTCCTCGAGTCACCTCGCAAATAAACTTCCCATCCTCAAAACCTTGACTCAGGCTTTGGGGGCACCTGACAACAATCACAAAGTCACCTAAACTAGATGCCTGTGGTCACATAACCCAGACACTGCCTTCCGTGTCTGATTTGTCTGATCTAGTGACTAAGCCCCTTCAGCATCTAGAGTACACCTGCTCCTCTCTGCCTGAGCCCAGGCCTGCCTTACTTTAGGTCTCAGACTCTCCCTGCTGGGCTCATTATCCCCAGGCTAATCCCCAGGAAGACCACCGGGCCGCTCTTCTGCACACAAACCTGTGCTGTCTTGCCCCGGCCAGCAGGATCCAGTCCAAATTCTCATCTTCCATGCAGAGCCCCCTCCCACAGTCCCTGTGGCATGTGGAGGCTCCCCCCATCTCTCTTGGCTGCTGC